ACTCAGGAGGAGACATCCGAGCTGAGTCCCGAACAGGCAGAGGTGAGGCCCAGCTTGCACAAACGCACCAAGGTGGAGCATTGAATGCTGAGTTCAGGGAATGAAAACTTGCCAGAAATGAGATCCGTGTCAGCCTAGAGGAAGATGCTGCCGGAGGCTAACCACCAATATCACCTGTTAATGGCGGCTGTTGTTCATGGCAGAGACCCACCCAGGGGTGTTTCAGGAGCGACTCCAGACCCACGGCCTCTTCCCTTCTCCCCATCCCTCCCAACTTTTAAAATGAAGCAGAGGCTTTGGCCAGGGACTGATTTTCCCTCCTCCCACTCCATCCTCTTCCCTAGCACCAGCAGAGCTAAGCCTTGTAATGACGCACCCCCTCTCCAGCTTTCCTTCTCTAGTGTTGAGGTTCATAGATTTCCCCAGATTCTGGCTTTCCCTACTCGAGAGATTGTCAGATGCTCACACCCCTGCAAGCTCTGGCCTGTTCTAGCTTAGTGTGACAGTGGGTGTCATTCATTCATTCATTCATTCATTCATTCACTGCCTTTTGTGCGGGTCTGTCCTCTGTATCTCACCAGGCTGGAGAACCAGCAGCTGCTCCTAGGCCTGATCTGACTCCCAGGCCTGATCTGACTCCCGATGGTCATGGGAGCTTTGATGTGCTGCCCCTCCCCACTTAGGATCCCGGACGCTTGCCATGTTGATGCTGGCTGCCATGGGGTCACCTCAGGAGCTTACCTCTGCTGCAGTTTAGAACTCCTGAGCTCAGATCCGTCTGCCCCGCCTCCTCCCGGGGCAGAGATTACGGGCCTATACTTGGCTCTAACCCCCTCTTATGAGCCAGGCATTGGGATACCAAATCCCAAATGGACGGTCCCTGCCCTCCCGGAGCTTACATTTTACTTGGGAAAAGCCACTTGTCCACAGATTAAAATAAAAATAATGTGGGGTTGGGGGAGGGGGCTGAGGAGAGGGGAATCAGAATAAGCCTCCCCTGAGAAGGGCATTTGAGCAGACCTTGAAAGAGACTAGGGATTCTAAGAGATGGAGGTCAGGAGAGAATGCGTTCCAGATGTCAGAGGTCTTGTATGGGGATGAGCAGGTTGGCCAGTTGGGTTGGTGGAGAGGGCTGGGTGATCAGCCAGGAAAATAGGCTGGGCCAGAGCTTCAGGGAGCAGAGCTAGAGTTCTCTATGCTGTAGAAGGGGGCTTTTGGGGGAGGGGCCTCATGTGGCGGCTCTGCACGCCAGAGGCATTCCTTACCTCAACGCTGCACAGTCTTACCCAAGGGACTCTCAGGGAGCAGCGCTTCATCTGTCCGAGTTGGGGCGTCCTTGGGCCAAATGTGTCCTGTCCCATGCGAGCTAGACCTTGGGATTCCAAAGACCACATGCCTTGGGTTCAGCCTGTAGTCAGCTCACCCCGTGACCTTAGGTGAGCTCCTTCTGGGCTCTGGGCCTCAGTTTCCTCCCTGTAAAATGATGCATCGGATGACATGCTCTCTAGTATCTGGATCCAAGTCTCGGCCTGTGAAAGTTACTTCCTCAAGTCTCAGTTCATTTGTGAAATTGGACTCAGTAACATTTAAGGTCAATCAGTAGTAATATATTAATAATCAGTAATTAATGTTCAATGATAAATAATTATACTAACAGTCAGTAAACATTTATTAAACACCTCCTGTGTACCAGACACTGTGCCACGTGCTGGGGATACAAAGGGAGGCCAGAGACAGTCTGGGCCCTCAGAGAGCCTGTGTTCTCAAGGGGAAGGCAACACGCAAACAGACGCATACAAAGCAAGTTGTATGTGGGACACGCAGGACATAGCAACAGAGGGAGGCCCCGGAGTTAGCAGGGGAAGGGAAGACTCCCCCCCAGCTCCAGACCTGTCATCCTGTGGGCCTTTCTAGCCGCGTGACGCTGAAATCCAGGTTGGTTGCTTGTGGAGGACCAGACCTTTCCAGGGCGTCTGTCCCATTCTGTGCGGTGCTTCCAAGATGAGGGGAGGCCAGGAGGCAGCAGTGGGGCGAACCTCGGAAGCTCCACTTTAGGAGCCCAGCATACGTGCGGCCGATCAACGTTCTCTCTGCGGATGGGGCTTGTAGATGCCTCTCTCAGTCCTTGGTCACAGGCTCTTTCCTGGGCTGGCTCCAGCGCCCTGGGTTTGGCCCCTCAGAACCATTGGGAAAGTGTTTCTTTGTGGGGAAATCCCCCGACCCACGGCACCCATGCTGGGGTTCAGCGCTGTAGCAGCTTCTGACCAAAATGCCCCCAAGCCCCGTGACATTTATCCAGCCCCTGCTGGGTACAGACAGCCACACTGTTCAGAGGGAAGACGGAGGCCAAATAAGCGGTCTCCGTCCCAGCTCTGCCGCTTACCAGGTGGGTGGCATTGGGAAAGTCACAGCATGTTACTTCATGGAGCCTCAGCCCCCTCATCTGGAAGATGAAGACCACAGGAGCACAGGTTTAGAGCTGGAGGGACCTCTTAGGTCCTCTCATCCAGCCCCACAATTACACAGATGAGGAAACTGAGGCTGGGGGGGACCCTAGGTTGTAAGTGGCAGAGACAGTGTTTGAAACCAGGTTCTCTAACTCCAAACCCAGAACTCCTTCCATCTCTTCACCCTGTTACTACTTGCATAGGATTCAGAAGCAGGCTGGACATATGTGCCTTCCAAATATCTGAGTGGATGCCAGGATACCCAGCACCATCCGCCGTTGGGGAATGCCCAGGGAATGTAGGCTGCTTTTAACACTGACATATGTAAAGCCCAGCGTTGGGGCTTAGCTGATCTCCAAGGGTCCTTTCGGCCCTGCTGCTCCTGGATTCTGCTCTGAGGCTCCAGGGACAAGGCGATGCTTCAGCTGCCCACACAGATGGCTCTATGGCGACCTCTTCTTTAAAAGGGGACAAAAAATCTGACCCTGCATCCTGTAGACCAGAGGTTCTGAGCCGTTTTGTGTCATGGCCCTTTGGCAGTCTGCGTGAAGCCCTTGGACTCTTTCTCATAATCATGTCTTCAGATGCACAAAATAAAACACAAGATTACCAAGAAAATCAGTTATATTGAAGTATGCTCATCAAAATGTACTTTTTAAGAACAGTGGGAAGGAGATCAGTGTTTGGGGATGGGAGAGGAAAGCTGTCTAAGGGAGAGGCTCACACAACCGCAGCTGATTTCCCAGGAATCAGGGACAGGCGGCTAGAAGAAAGACACAGATGGGGACAGTTTCCCAGAAAGAGCGACTGGTGAGGTTTTCAAATGTCAAGTCGCATCTTGCTTACAGACAAGTTAATCTAGTGAAAAGCCGGCCACTAGAATTGGTGGTGAGACACCGCTTCCAGAACAAATGTTTTCTTGAGTGTGGTGGGCCCTTACTTTCGTCCTTTCTTTTCTTTCATATGCTGAAAAACAGGGGCACAGCCAACAGATCGAAACTTCTGAGTTTGTCTGGAACCCTGATTATCACTGATTGACTCCTTGTTCTGTGCAGGGAACCGCTCACAATGCCCGCAGCCCTGCCTTATTTCCCCCAACAGCTCCCTCCAGAATAATATGTTGCCAGTGGTAGTATGGTGGGAGATGGGATTGGCTTGGCCTTTCTCCACTCAAAACTGAATTCTGCTTACAAGGGAGCAGCCCCTCCAAATCTGGCCTAGAGCTGGAAATGAAGAAAGTGCCTATCCCTCCAACAGAGCTCAGGGAGCTTGGGAGCTGTAGCAAGAAGGACAATTGTCTGGATAGGCCGAAAGTAGTAAATGTGTAGAATTTCATATATATTATTATATATATCATACATATTATTGTGTGTGCGTGTAAGTGTATGTGAAAGATGTGTGTAAGACCTTTTCTATTGGACTGAACATCAGCCGGGACACAGCATCCCCACACCATCCCTCCCACCATGCTCACCCTGCTCTGTCTGTCTGTCTGTCTGTCTCTCTCCCTCCCTCTCTCTTTTTCCTCTCTGTCTCTGCCTTTCTCTTTCTGTCTGTCTTCTTCTCTGTTGTTCTCTCCGTCCCTCTCTCTCTTCTCTTCTGTCCTCTCTTCTCTCTGTCTGTCAATCTGTCTCTTCTTTCTGCTTCTCTCTCTCTCCCTTTTTTTCTGTCTCTTTCTTTTTCTGTCTCTCTCTTCTCTTTCTCTGCTGCTCTCTGCCTCCCTCTCTCTTTTTCCTCTCTGTCTCTTTGTCTCTGTCTTCTTCTCTTCCTCTCTCCCCCTCTCCCTCCCTTTCATTCCAGAGTGCGCCATATAGGGCCCTGGAAGAGGGTACTGGCTTACAACCCAATTCCATCTTCTTTTCAGGAATCGAGCAGTTGTGAGTGTGTTTCTCTGGGAGTTGTTAAAATTCTCCTTTCAATTTATTGAGGTCGGTTGAGGTAGATTTACATGTTCGTTGTGAGCTACAAACTTCCTTAAAAGTCCGGTTCTCAGCACGTCCTCATTAAATGCATCCTCTCTTGTGAACAGACTCCTGGGGAGTGGTGTCTGTTTTATGGAGTGAGAGTCAGCCGGCCACGGTGCTGTCTGGACCACGGGGTAAAAACTGCCCAGCGTTGCTGGTTGGGAAGTAAGACCCCTTTCAGCCGAGGTGTTCGTTAACGGACTGGTGGAGAAGGCAGAAGTAGTGTTGATGACACCTAGGTCCTGCACACATCACTCTTTCATCTGTGCAGTGTTTGAAGCCGGTGGGTCAGGTCACGTATATTTATATAAATCCCCGGGGATTTTCCAGGTAGCTGAGATTCAGCGCAACGTTGGCGGTACTGGCGCTGTTCCGTGGTGCTGCTGATTTCATGGCATCACAGACTTAGAGCTGGAAGGCACATTCAGGGACATTTTGTCCAACCCTGAGGAAACTGAGCCGCAGCAAAGCGAAGTGACTTACCCGGGGTCGCCAGCGAAGGCCGGGGCCCTCATGACCCTGCCTGTTGAGGGCCGCACTGGGTTTCTAACCCTGTTTGCTTTTCTTCTCTCTCTGTCTCCCCTTGCAGGTCTCTGCTCCTTCTTGCCATGCCTGAGGAGATGGACGGTGCCCCGCCACTGCCCGGCTCCACCCTGTGCCCCCCGTCTTACTAGACCCCCGGCGCTGGCGGCGGCAGGATGAACATCGCAGCCGTCTTCAACGCCCTGCTGGTGTCCATCCTCGCAGCCGTGTTGTGGAAGCACGTCCGGCTCCGGGAGCATGCGTCCACGCTGGAGGAGGAGCTGGCCCTCAGCCGCCAGGCCCGGGAGGCCCCCCGGGAGACCATCGACTACCAGGCGGCCCTGCGGAGCCTCCTGGAAGAGGGCACGCGCATGGTGTGCACCGGCCGCACGCACACCGACCGCGTCTGCCGCTTCCAGGGCCTCTGCTACTCGGTGGAGGCCGAGGAGTTCCTCTTCCTCCACAGCAATGCCTCGGTCATGCTGCCCAGCCTGGGCCCCCGCCGCTTCCAGCCCGCCCTCCTGGACCTGTCCTCGGTGGAGGACCACAACACCCAGTACTTCAACTTCGTGGAGCTGCCCGCCAGCGCCCTGCGCGCCCTGCCCCCGCCGCTCTTCGTGCCCGAGGTGGCGCTGATCACCAACCGCTTCAACCCCGACAACCTCATGCACATCTTCCACGACGACCTGCTGCCCATCTTCTACACCATGCGGCAGTTCCCCGGCCTGGACCGCGAGGCCAGGCTGGTCTTCATGGAGGGCTGGGGCCCCGGGCTGCACTTCGACCTCTACCGGCTGCTCAGCCCCAAGGTGCCCCTGGTGCGGGAGCAGCTGAAGAGCCTGGGCAGCCTTCTCTGCTTCCCGCAGGCCTACGTGGGGCTCTCCAAGGTCACCACCTGGTACCAGTACGGCTTCGTGCAGCCCCAGGGCCCCAAGGCCAACATCCTGGTGTCGGGCAACGAGATCCGCCAGTTCACGCGGTTCTTCGCGGAGAGGCTGAATGTCAGCGGGTCGGAGGGGCGGGGCCCTGCTGGGGAAGAGTACATCGTGCTCTTCAGCCGCACCCTCAACAGACTCATCTTGAATGAGGCGGAGCTGCTCTTGGCTCTCGCCCAGGAGTTCCAGATGAAGACCGTCACGGTGTCGCTGGAGGACTACGCCTTTGCGGACGTGGTGCGGCTGGTCAGCAACGCCTCCATGCTGGTCAGCATGCACGGAGCCCAGCTGATCACCTCCCTTTTCCTGCCCCGGGGCGCCGTGGTGGTGGAGCTCTTCCCGTACGCCGTCAACCCCGACCATTACACGCCCTACAAGACCCTGGCCGGCCTTCCCCACATGGACCTCCAGTATGTGGCCTGGCAGAACACCAAGCAGGAAAACACGGTCACCTACCCCGACCGGCCCTGGGACCAGGGGGGCATCGTCCACCTGGACCGGACCGAGCAAGAGCGCATCCTGCAGAGCCGCGAGGTCCCCAGGCACCTGTGCTGCCGCAACCCCGAGTGGCTGTTCCGCATTTACCAGGACACCAAGGTGGACATCCCGTCCCTCCTCCAGGCCATCCGGGGGGCGGTGAAGGCCGGCCTGGGGCTTGGGAAGCACAAGTGGGCGAGCAGCTTGTACCCGAGCAAAGTGAGAGGGGCCAGGTGCCAAGCCTCCGTCCAGGGGGCCACCGAGGCCCGGCTGAGTGTGTCCTGGCAGACCCCCTGGAATCTCAAGTTCGTGAAGGTCAAGGAAGTGAAATACGAAGTCTGGATCCAGGAGCAGGGGGAGAACGCGTACATGCCTTACATCCTGACCCACCAGAACCACACCTTCGCTGAGAACATTAAGCCCTTCACCACCTACCTGGTCTGGATCCGATGCATCTTCAGCAAAAATCTCCTGGGACCTTTTGCAGATGTGCTCGTGTGTAGCACGTAGCCCCACGGGCCCAGTCAGCAGCAGGAGATCCTTCCGCTTCCAGGATGGTCTCAGAGAATGGTGTACGTATTGAGAAGGTGGAAGAGAACGAGCCCCACCCACCCACCCCCACCCCCGCCCCCACCCCCCACTAGTGCCTCAGTGGTCGTTTATTGCATTTACTGTGTGTGTATTCTTGACTGTGACAATACTCGGTGGAACCCAACTCTCCCTCCCAGCCCTGCCTCTCCACCTCTTCAGCAGCAGTGACTGACTGCCCACCCCTGCCCCTCCTTCCAGCCCAGTGACTGACTGCCCCCTCCACCGTTGCCACTGAGTATCCGTAGTACTGGAAAAGTAACTGTGAATTGAGTAGGTGGGTCCAAGCCCTGCATAGGTTTATGGGGACTGGGGGTGGTTATGTGGAATATTTCATTAGCTTCTTCGTTGTGAAACTTTCCCAAATCCTAATTCAAGGATGTGTTGTTGAGACGTTCAATAAATGGTTGTGAGCATCAATAAAGAGTCCCTTGCTTTGGGGGTCCTGGGAGGGAACCCAATGCCTTGATCTCCAGCCGTGGGGGCAGTCATCCAGGATGACCCTGGTGTGGGTGTGGTCCCGAACCTCAGGTCTGGAGCCCACAGTCACACAGGCAATAAGCCACAGAGTGGGATTTGAACCCAGGACCTCTGACTTCGGAGCCATTGAACCACTCTGCCTCCAATCATCAGCAGCCTTGATTAAGTGCCAGGCACTGAGGATGCTAAGAAAAAATTAAAGAACCCTTGACTTGACATTCCATGGAGGGGGGCGGGCAGGGAGAGACACCACACATAAATGTAGGTCCATACAAGAGGAATGCAAGGGGGAGGCAGTAGTAATGGGGGGAGGGGCATCAAGGAAGACTTTATGGAGGAGGTGACATTTGAGCTGGGCTTTGGAGGAAACTTTGAGAGGAGCTTTGGGGGTCTCTAAGAAGCCCAGGGAAGAAGACTGCGAGAAGGATCTTTTTTTCCTCATTGGAGGTGTGAAGTAGCAGGAAGACCACAGGCCTAAGGGTCAAGAGCCCAGGGTCCGAATCTTACCTCATCATAGGAAGGAGAGTGATGACCAGAGGGGGCGGGTGGTCTTCCTTCATCTTAGCCGAGCAGATTGTTTCTGTTGAAGTGGGTTTCCTTTGCTAGCTGGGGTATGAGTCACTCAGGAGCAGAGAGGGGAGACGGAGGTGAAGTCTGGGAAAGGAGTTTTGTTAGAACCACTACTGGCTTTCAGAGCTCAAGCTCCTGGGTAACCTGGGAACAGAAGCCCATCCCTCCAGGGTTCCCCATCCCTCTCTCTATTAAATGGGACGAGCACCTCAGCACAGGTAGAGGCGAGAGTACCCTTCCCATGTTAGCAATAGGAGCATAGATTTGGACTTAAAAGGAACCCTTCCTTTTACAGACGAGGAAACAGGCCTGGAGTCACCCAGGGAACAAGTGGCCAAGCTGAGATTTGAACCCAGGGACCCTGACTCCAAAGCTAGAACTCTCCTCTGTCAAATATTGCAAAGGTTCAATGAGCCCAATGCTTTAGGCATTCTGAGGAGTGGCACGGACTCCCAAGTCGTCCGTCCTAGAGGCTGTTACTGTGTGATGGTCTGACGTGGCTTTGCCATGTTCTTCCCCTCCCCACCAAAGAGTTGGGTATTTCATGTGGCAGGTGCCAGTCCATGGTCACTGGGCCTCTGGAGTGTGGGAGGTCTGGCTTACCCAGGCTTGTTTGCCCCCAGAATTTCCTCCATGCCCTGATGAAAATGATGGAATTTCAGAGTTGGAAGACAGAGGCTGTCTCATTGAACCCATCCATGAACAAGACCCCCCTTTTCCATGACATCCCTGATAAGTGGTCATCCAGCGAGGGATGCTCTCTCCCTGCCTCTCCAGGCAGGCTGCTCCACTCCAGAATTGGGAAGCTTTTCCTGACATCAAGCCTACATCTCCCTCTTGGCAGCCTCCCCCCAGGACACCTTGTCCCACCCTCTAGGGCTGAGCAGAACCATTCTGATCTTTGTATGCTTGAAGACAGCTAACATTTCACCTCTGAGTCTTGTCTAAACCTCCCCAATTCTTAGAACTCATCTGACCTGATCTCAAGCCCTTGCCCCCTCTGGGTGCACCTTCTCTGATGCTGTCCAGCTTAAACATGCCGCTCAGCTGAGCCTCTCTAGAAGTCAGGTGCTCCTGGCTCCAGGGCCGAAGCTCTATGCACTGCGCCACCTGGCTGCCCCCAGCATCTCTAGAATAGCGTTTTAGCAGAGTGTACTTAAGATCTGTTACGAGTTAATAGTAATAATAGCTAGCACTTTAGGTTTGCTACAAGTTGTTAGAGCCTTTTGGAATGTAGCCTGTTTGTGCATGGGGTGCTGATATCTAGGACTCACGGCGTGGAGCCTGTCCAGGGGAGTGCGCAGCGGGCAGGTGAAAGCTTGCCAGCACGTGTCAGGCAGTCCAGGTGTTCAGACTCCAGGCCCAGCGTGACTTCACTAGCCTCTCCGTCTGAATCATTGACCACTCCCAGATACCCAGAAGGGGAGCCGGGACGGGAGTCAGGCATGGCCGCAGGTGAGAATCGGGCAATGTGGCCACGCTGAGAGTTCTGAGGTTGACTGTCAGGGAGGAGGCAGGGCCCCAGACGGGTCAGCATGGCCTCCATCTAGCCTGACAGCCCGGCCCCGCGGAGGCAGGGAGGGCGACGGGCCGCTGTGCACAGATAGCTCTCAGCAGAAGCTTCGTGCTGGAGGTGATTTCCAATCTCCGGGCGAATCCTTGGGCTCCCCGACTCCTGAACCGTGATACATTTTCTACTTGGTTAGTTCTGGAGAATTAGACCCAATGGCCTTGTGTCTTCCGCGCGCCCATCCAGGCTCCAGCCCGGGGGTCGGAGCCCGCTGCCCACGGCCCCAAGCCCGCTCAGTGATGCAGCCTGGGGCGGCGGAACCAAGAAGCCGTGGGTCAGGCACGGGCAGCGGTGCAGTGTTAGGCTCCGAGTCAGGAGGACCCGAGTTTGAATCCTGCTTCTGGCACTTACCTGTGCAATGCTAGGCAAATCGCGTGGCCTCTCTGGGCCTCAGTTTCCTCTTTGGTGAAGGAAGGATAACAATACCACCCGTCTCGCAGGATTGTAGGCAGGGTCGAATGAGATAACGTATGTCGAGGCTTTAAGGCTTACACAAAAGTTAGCTATTATCATCAGGAGACTTCTGGGGTTGTGGCTGGGCCCAACGGTTCTGGAAAACAACTAAAGAATTAAATTATTCCTATCCCGTGACCTGGAAATTCCCCCCAATGAATATATGCCCCAAAGGAAGAGAAAGTCAGAAAAAAAATCCGGTAGGATTATCCCCCTTTACACGTGAGAAGGCTGGAATCCGACTGGACCGGGCTCCATCGACCGCAGGAGCCCAACCTCCTTTCAGGTTGCGTCGCTCCTCGGTGCAGAGGACTGCCGGTCAGTGCCCTGCCTCATCTCCCTGCTCCGATACCCCCACCCCCCACCCCAGCAGCTGCCAAAGTCATTTCCCTGAGGTCAGCTCCGAGCACATGACTCCCCCTCCCGCATTCCATAAATTCCAGTTGTCTCCAGGATCGGATGTAAAATCCTGCTTCTGTCTCAAAGCCCTTCACCACCAGGACTCTTCCTGCCTTTCCAGTCTTCTTACACCTTACTGTCCTCCACTTATTCTGTGATTCAGCCGCACTAGCCTCACCGCCATTCCTTGAATAATTCCTTCTCCTCCTCCTTCTTCCTCTGAGTGCCTTGCATGTATTAATTCTGACAATTCATGGGATACATATTATCCCCATTTCACGGATGAGGAAACTGAGGCCGAGAGAGGTTAAGCGACTTGTGCAGGATCGAATAGCAAGTGTCTGGGTAGGGGAGGGAAGAGGAACATCATTATAGAATCATAGATTTGGAGGTGAAAGGGACCTTAGCTGGAACCCTAACCCCACCTCAGTTTACAGCTGAGAAAAGTGAGGCCCACAGGTTAGATGGTTCACCCAAAGTCAACCGATCTTTCTAACTTTGAAGTGCAGAGATCTGTCCACTACCCCAGGCTGGCTCTGCATTTCTTCAGAAATGATGAGGATGTTAAAAACAAAAGGAGTCAATAAAAATTAAATTTTTTTTGAAGTTTGTTGAATTGAATTGAGTCAGGGACAAGACAGCGGGGTGAGGTCTGGTGAGGATTATAAGTTAGTACACAGCTGGGGCCAAGGACCCGATGTGGAGTGAATTGAGCTTGAGTTGTCCAGGTAGGTGTTGGAATTCGGAGCCCAGGCCCAGATGAGCGGTCAGTGGCTGCGTCCACCCGGTCCACGGGTCTTCTGCCTTCTCCAGACTGGAGACAAGGGGGCAGAAACCTTGAGATATGGAAGCTTAGTGGGTCCACGGGAGACAGCCCTGCCCAGAGAGGGTGGACTCCCATGGTGGGCAGCAGCGGCCAGTCATACGAGTGCCCAGAAAAGCCAGAAGACCACAGCCATCCACCAGAGCCAGAGGGCAAGAGAAAGCTTCACCTTTCAGAACCTTATTTTCTTCATCGCTCCCCTCAGGTACCATGTCCTCTGTGGGGAAGCTGTATGACTTAGAGCAAAAGAGTAGTCACTTGGAGTCAGAAGACCCGGATTCAAATCCTGCTCCTGACCTTTACCACTACTTGTATGACCTTGGACAGGGTCACACGTCACCTTTCTGTGCCTCAGTTTCCTCATCAATAAAACAAAGAGGTTGGAGCAGGTGCTCCCCGGGGTCCTTTTAGCGCCAGAGCTGTACTGATCCCATCAGTGGTCTGCGCTCTTTCCTCAGCTATCCCCAGAGCACTTTGGATCCTACTTTGTCCCTTTACTTTCCTCCCCTCCTCTGCTGTGGATAGCAAGATTCCTGAGCAGAGGAACAATGCTATGTCAGTTATCTACCCCTAGTGTCTAACACAGCGCTTCGTTTGTAGGAGCTTAGTAAACGTTTGCTGAATTGGAGCTGGGAGGGCCTTAGGGATCGTTTAGTCCCATCTCCTCGTTTTGCAGATGGGGAAACTGAGGCCCATGGAGGTTAAGTGGCTTCTCCAGGAAAGTAAGTAGCAGAACTAGGATTTTTTTAAGGTCTGGAGTTGGAATGGACTTTAAAGAGCCTTTAATCTAAGGATGCTTAATCTCTGTGTGTCATGAGCTCCTTTGGCAAAATTATGAAGCCCATGGACCCCTCTTAGAAGAATAATTTTAAATGCATAAGATGAAATACACAAAAATTTTAAAACCAATTAGATTGAAATATCAAAGCATTTTTTAAAGTTTATGGACTCCAGATTAAGAATCCTTGATTTAGTTCAATTTCTTCGTTTTACAGATAGGTAAACTGAGGACAGCTAGATGGTATAATGGATAGAGTGCCCAGGTCTGGAGGCAAGAAGGCCTGAGTTCAAATCTGACCTCAAACACTTCCTAGCTGTGTGACTCTGGATAAGTCACTTCTCT